CCTTTTTTTTTTTCTTTTCTTACAAGTTCTTATGAAAAAGTTTATCTAAACATGTCCCTAGACTGTTTACTCAATGTAAGTGTTGGTCTGTGATGTTTTTTTGCTAAAATTGAAGGCATTCAAAATGCATCATGGTCCATGGATCACTTGTGTGATTTGTTACTTGTGTATCTATGTGCATAATATTTTTCTGGAGTGGCTATGTTAATGCAATAATAGCTTTAATGTTGTTTTAGTATCCACTCATAATGATGCCTTGTATTTTTGACAGGCTACTTTTGACTGTTTGATGAAAACCTACGGTTTTCTGACACCAGAGTTCTGGAAGGAAACTCGCTTTAGCAAATCTCCATTCCAAGAGTACACAGATCTCTTGGCAAAACCAACAGGAAAGGCTCTAATCTTGGAGGAAGAAAGGGTGGATGCTTGATTTGGCATTTTCGATGTTTTAGGAACTTACTTATATATTCTGTTGCTTCTGTGCTTTACTTTTGGTTGAGAAACGGTATATCGCTGTATGCGTTTTGATTGTTTTAAGTTTTAATTGACTCCAGTTTTGAATGCCATAGTTTTCTGCCTGTTTTATTTGGTTGTAGCAGTTGAATGACATCATTCAGCGAGGAGCAAGTGTGCTTTTATGTTGCCTCTTCTATTTTTCCAATATAAATATAAACCTACTGAGACAAATTAAAATGAGGATAGATAAAAGTGTTTCTTTTGCTAAATAAAAATGAGAAATTGTCTAAGAAAATGAGATTTGTCAGTTAAGGGTGTCTCATTATTTGAGGTTTACCTGGACAAGATTTTGAGTTTGTAATGAATGCTTTTTATAAAATTTCGTTATAAAAGAATATTTCAATGGATGACGTGTATATATATATATACCTTACTATTATTTTCTATTACAGTATATATATAAGTAATGTTCCTGTTTTGATCATTTTACCGTCAATTAATTAATATATAATAATATAATATATAAAAGATATTTTGTGTCGCATACAACATGTTGATAGTGTATCGATCAGTGTGTGGAGTGAGCGTCAGCGATCTGTATTGGCTTCTTTACATTTCTTTAGCATCACTTAACTCAATTCTTGGTAACTTCTTCACATCGGGCCCCCGTTTCTCTGACTCGACAATCTAACTTTTGGTTTTAAAAGCTCATTCTACAAGCGATGAAAGCGAATACTATCCATTGTCTAAGCGACTTGACTATATGAGATATGCATTTCATCTGCTTCATTCTAGTTGCTAGAAATGATCATTTTTAACACAAAAATGGGGCTTGCATTCTCCATCATCTGTCTTGTTCTTCCCCAATAAGGATGAGGAGCAAATTTCCAGCAAAGGCTGGAGCAGGAAATTTCCAACACAGGATATATTAGTTTTCAAAGTCTTCAATATTCTTGCTCTTCATCTTCTTGACTTTTTCTTGCTCATCAAAGTCTACTTTTTCATTTTCGAAGCAGTGAGGCAAATGGATTTCTTTTGGATTCCATATTTTCAGATTTTTGGTTGATGTTTTTCTTCTTTGTTGTATCTCGTAAAATGACTAAGGGGGAGCATATGGAAGTATTAATCCGCATATATCCACTCAATGTACCTAGAAACCGATGGATCTATCACTCGACCTACCAAACATCTAAAACAGAGGTCAGCATATATTAACCCCCTTTTTGTAGGGGGTTATGTTTAGTAGTGTGATATTTCCTTTTCAATTTGTTTCCACAATTATTTATTTTAAAATAATAAGGAAAATTTATAATTTTTTAAGAAAAAATTAAAATAATTTTTTTTTATACGTTAAAGCCCAACTTAACTCGATACATCATTCACCAAATTGGTTCAATTTGAGTTTAATGGAAAAATAGCCCAATCTGTCTTTGTTGGTTAGAGGGTAATGGGTTAGGCCCAAATTGACCCATGAATATTTCTAATTACATTACACCATTTAGTTTATTTAAAGACTAAATCTTTAAAAATATTATATTAACCCTATTAACATTTTTTTCTTCTTCATATAATATACATATGTATAAATTATTTCCATAACATAACATGAAATCCAATATAAAAATTCAATTTATAATATAAATATTTAGGTCTATTTGATTTATTAAAAATTATGCTACTGGATAAGACAAATATCATTATTTTACGTTTGATTTATAAAAAAAGGATAGAACTAAAAAGATGGAGAAGAATAGGACAAAAGTTTTATTATTTCTCACTCAATAAACCACAAGACAAGATTTTGTCTCAGGTATAAAAATATTCATAGGATAGTATTAGATTAAAGGATGATATTAGATCCTTTATAACATAAGTTTTAATGATAACAAATGTAAACATTTTCAGAAAATAGTTTTTCAGATCATATTATAAGACGAATTAGAATAGATGCTTGGTTATGATGATGTATAGTCTCTCAAATAAACTACTTCTTCTATTAGACAAGTGCATTTAATATATAACATTTATGATATTTGATAACCAAAACATATTTGTCTATAATATTCCATAATAGGTCAAAATGAATAAAAAACTTCTTTGGTACTTGCACTTCAAAAAGCAACAAAAACATATTACTAGAGAAAGGATAAACAAATCCCTCAAAGTATACGAAATCTAAAAAAAAGTCATTTTTTATTGACACAAGCAATAAATCCTTTTGTTTGGTATCATAAAGATGATAAGTAACCTCCTTGATTAAATAAAAAGTGACAATTTGATAAAAACACATTTATTACTCACAATTAATGCACCAATAAATACTTTTTCTAACAAGGAAGGAAGACGAAGTTAGACAAAACAAGCCTATGAGAGATGTTCAAAGATTTGCAACATTCATCTTCATGAAACACTTATATAAAAAAGCTCGAAGAAAGCATAACTTTTGTAAAAATTCACATTCATTCTTTCTGTAAAAAATTCTATACTTAATTTGGTCATATCATGTCTTGATAATAAGACAAAACAAAGTGATTTCCTAACTTTGACTTTGTGTTATTGCTTGAAGCCTCAAGCGGCTTAATTATAAAGAACACTTACAAAGAATTTGTTGTTAGAGAGTACTTTGACTGTTGAAGCTTAGAGATGTTTTGTTGTTCAAAAAATACTTAGGTAGTTACTTGAATAGACAAATAAAAAAATCTTTAAGTTAAGCAATGCCAAAAGTGACTTGTCAAAGAATACTTGTATCTTTGTAAAAAATAGTAGAATTTGATTAGGTTAATAAAAAAATGATATAGTCTCGGTGATTGAAACGAACTAATATAAAAATATCTTGTGTTCTTTTTCTCTTAAGTATTTTGAAAAATATTGAGTTTTTGATTGATATTACTTAATCCTCCTTCTACTATTTTTTTTCCACATACAATATTATATCAATACCATCTCAATTCTTACCATTGCTACCTAACACTACTGCCACCACTACCTATCATTGTTGTGGTTGGCCTCCACCCCACCATCAGTGCGATGTCACCCACCATCACCTTATTTCTATCATTGTTGTTGTTGCTTCCGTCAACATTATTACTATCATTATCAATGTTATTATTGTCATTACAATTTTTATTATCATCATTCATGATAAAATAATAATAAATTATTATGATAATTAATATTAAAATATTTTTTATAATAATTTTATCATTATTTTTGTTTGTGCTACCCATTATTCACTAAATAATGCAAAAACAAAAACAAAATTTATCTAGTAAATTTAACATTTGTCTTGTGCTTTTCAGTTTGTTTTGTACGTTAAAATGTATAAAGAGACTCTGTCTAGATAAATATCACTTCTACACCATAAAATTTGTCATTGTGCTCCAATAAAAATCTAAGCAATAACAGTATTTAAATTTTTTGCCGACTACCTCAATTCACGAGAAGTTAGGAATTGTAGGTTTTTCCATATAACATAACGAAAACAAAAAATAATGGGAACATTTTGTTAGATCCCACCTACATTTGCCCCACGTGGGTGGTTTGTTGTATTTCAAATTGTTTGGGTGAAAAAGGATGGTGATGGGCCAGTGCCGTAAAAAGGGTAATGCAAAGATCTTGTCCAGGAAAGATGAATTATCAAGAATATATAAGTACATGGCGAGGTGATGGTGAAGGATAGGTATATAACAGACACAATTAACCCACAGGGTACCCATTATTGTGAAGTGAGCTGGTAAAAGGACATAATAGCTTGAAGTTTCAAAGTTACCTACGTTATGTATGTACGTATGCAGCCATAGTCTGAGTCTAGAATAGAATCGCAACAAAAGTATGCAGTGGTACTTAACATTGACACACTCGCCTAAATGCGACCATATGATTCTACCACTTCACATGGTTAAGGGCCTACACTTGCCCACCCACAATACATCCCCCATCTCATCTCACTCTTTCTTTCTTATGTCTACTTTTAAAAATAAAAATATTGTAAATAATAATGGGATTGGAATTAGACATAAGCCTTACCTTCAAATTCAATTACTAAATTAGGTAAAAAGAAAGAAAGAAAAATATTAGCACGGAAGAATAAGTATTGGTTCTGTGAGATCTGTTTCAATTATTTGAACCCCCGAAATGATTATGATTTATGAGTTTATGCCATAAACTAAACTTTGGCCTTATGAGTTTGATGGTCATGACTCGAGCTACTTCAATCACTTCCAATCATTATGAAGTAGCAGCCACGTCAAACAGAGAATTAGCAAAACGTCAAATCTCCATTTCCATCCTACTTTATAGGGAAATTATTACGTTTATATTAATTATTGACGATAATTTGTGGCTGTGGCATACATCGATCACCATGGCATCACGTGTCCACTCTCCATGCCTGTCATTTGGGTGGGTGGGGGAAGGAGGTGTTAAAATTGAAACTTGAGCACGATAGATAGATATAGATATATATTATGATTACGATTTTCTCAATATCCAATTGTTCGTAGATATTTTAATTTGTAGGTTGTCTCTTTTTGTTTTTATCCTTTGCCATAATTTAACTAACGCAGACACACAAGCACAAAGGTCTTTCTCTCCGAACAAACCGGTCGGGTGAGCATGCAAAGACCAACGTGCTAATAGGCAAAGGTTTCTGCTCTTGTTGCTTTTTTCATGCTTGCCAACCCACTTCCTAGGTACAAAGAAAACTTGATATCCTAATGATTCAAAAGTTGAAAGCTGGTTATATGGGAGCCATGTGAAAAACAGTGGGTAGCCAAACCTTTTTACAATGATTTAGCTTCTCTTTTCTATCACTTATCTTCTCTTGCCATTTCTACAAAAGTCAAGTTTTCATCATTTAATCAAGTTTACTATTTCTGAAGAATTAGCAAATTTCAATCTTCCTGATCCACCTCCTTCACACAAACACAACGCAGCTTCAGGTATTTTCTTCTATCGTCTTGCATTAATTATTTACTCTGCCATGCCATGTTATATATCAATTATATGTATACCCTTTCTGATTCTTTCTAAATAATAACAATAATATATAAGTATCCCAGAAACTTACAAAACAAAGTACTACTATTAAATTGTAAGATTATTACATGCTAATTCTCCATTGAGCAAGTTATGTGAAAAGTTTTCTGTGAATTCTGTTCCATGTATGCTTGCTTTGCGTCATTAATCATCTTGGCTTTCACATTTCTACTATCATTAATAATTTTCATCACAGATATTTGGCTTCCTTAATTTTGAGACCTAGGCAGGGAGTAGTTAACTGCTATTATTTGTCATAATTAGAAAACAACCCATTTCTAAAATCAATGTCTCCATGAGGTCCCAGTGATGGAAAATTTGATATCCCCCTCTCCAATAGTCTCATTTTCATTTGGCAAAAATACCCTTAAAAATGAGAGGCACTTGAAGTTCCTTGCAGTGATGCAACTACACAAGGAACACAAATAAGATAAATGAACATTTGCAAAGACGAAACAAACCCCACGCAATTAATTCTTTGTCCTACAAGACCAGACCCGTTGTATCACACCACACAATTACATCACTCTCCAAAGTCTCCATTACAATTACTAACACACACGACTACCCGTATCTTGTCCCCCCCCAGAATTAAGACCATATTTTCAAGTCCAGTCCAACTGAGATTTAGATCTTAATTAACCAAGAATGTTTTCCTCGGAACAAATAAAGAAGCATTAATAATTGTGAAAATAGGCTATTCATATTCATCGACAGTGTAATCATCTATTATATTATGTATGGTTGGTTAATTTAAAAGTCATAATAATAATAATAGTTTTTAATTGATTGAATGTATAAAAATGTTTTGAATAAATGATTTTAATTTATAAGTTTTTATCATTTTTTTTAGTCTTTAAATGATATTTGACGTTGGAGACTAAAAATGTTAATATGAAAAAGAAAAAAAACCATATACATTTTATTGATTAAAATTTGTATTGAATGATCATATACATTTTTTATGTAAAATTTTTTATATTATCGATGAATTAAAAATTATTGTTAATATTATTTTTAAAATAATTATTGTAAAAGTAAAATCGTGAATTATGATGATATGAGATTACATAAATGTTTTTCCTTAATGTTTTTGTCAAATTGTTTTAGAGCATCAATGAATGAATGAGCATTAAAGTTAAACTCTTAATAATTTATTTTGTGACTATATCATTATTATTATTATTATTTACTAACATATTTAATTTGTATATAAGAGGTTCCCATATATAGCAAAGTGGGAAGAGAGAGAGAGGGAGATAGGTAGCGATGGAGCAATCAGAAAAAATAGCGAAGAAAGTATCATCAGCGAGAACATCATTTCCGAGAGATCCACGTGGCTCACTCGAAGTGTTCAACCCAACCGCCACCTCAACCAACGCGCGCGTGCGTTCGCCGCCCCTTTGGAAATCCTGGACCGACTCCGAAGAGCCGCGCATCCACTATGCTTGT